TAGGGCCTCGCTGAATTTCTGAGGCTGGCTTTAAACTTGTCATCCTCCTGCCTCAGCCTCCTGAGCCACTGGGATTACAGGCGTGCACCTGTAAAGGTGATTTAAAGCCGCTGTCTTGGGGTCCTGTTGATGTGACATAGTGGCAGCCYGGCTTACTTTTTCTCTGACTTGCCCTTGTCCATCCTCCCCCAAGTCTGTCCACGTATGACAGATGGACAGCCCTACCTACCCCCCAGGGCTATGCACCAACAATGAGATGACACCATTTCTAAAAGGCACTTTGTGGCCTGCCTGTCCGCCAGTAAGTGCCCAGGAGGTGGAGAGGCGAGGGTTTCTTCTCTTCTTTCCCTCCCACGATGCCCTGGCAGCGCTAAAGCCAGTGGAGCAGCGGAGCTGCGGGGCTGACCCAGCCAGTGACCTTCGACAGCCTTTCTCCACCTCTGACTCCTCGGGACTCCCAGGCAAGTCGTTCTCCCTCTCTTTCCTCCGTTTCTTTGTCTGCAAGATGAGTAACTGGATGAGAAATCGCTGACATTTGCTCCCAGCTGTCAAGCTCAGATGCCCATCTGAAATGAGGAACTGCGGCCACCGACCCGTGGTAGGTGTGTGACGGCAGCCAGGCTGTGCATGCCCCGGGCAGTTCCTCCTCCTCCCCTGCCCATTAGCCCCAGTTCTAGTGGGTGGAATGGGGCAGGGTGGGTCTGTCCTCCCCTGGCTGGCCTCACTCAGCAGAGTCCGTGGAGGTCTGGGCCACCTGGGGATCTCAGCGTTCTCCTCAAGGCCRAGGGTGACGTCCCTCGCCTCTGCTTGAGCTGGCTCTGGCCTCTTCTGTGGGGATCCGCGGTCTCTTTCAGCCCGGGGCTTCCTGGAGCCAGAAGCAGGTGAGTCCCATCCTCGCCCTGTGCCTCTGCTCCCGGGGGGCTCTTCTGGAGTGGCCAGAGGTCACGTGTCCACCTGTTTGAATATCCCTCTCTCCAGCCTTCGGGGATCAGGGCTGCCTGACTTCAGGGTGCAGGTGCTTTTTGGCCTCCTGGGCCTTGGTTACTTCCKGGTGGGCAGTACCCCCTCCCTGTCCAGCTGTGCCAAGCCCCCTCCGTTTCTCTCTTGGCTTCTGCCCTGTTTGTTGATTGGCTCAAGAGAAGGGTGTGGGCAGAGGCTGGAGGCAGTGTCAGGCCTGGTTGGCCCACCCCAGAGCCCCTTGCCCATTGTCCCCAGCCAAGCCAGGTAGGTCTCTTTCTACCTGTCCAGCTGAGGCAGGTCCTCTGTGAGGCTCCTGTTGCCAGGTCCACCCTGGAAGAGAAGGCTATGGCGTCCTGCATCTGGAGCACCATCTGCCCAGCTCTGCTCTGCCTGGCCCCAGACATGGCTCTYTGCGAGGGGGCTCCTGAGCATGGGCTCTGCTTTAGTTGGTTTCCTGTGTGCACCCCACTCCTCAGACCTCCCCTCAACCCTGACAGACCATTACCCGGGGCCTCCACTCTCAGAAACTCKCCTCCACTGCAGAGGTCCTCATGGGGAGCAGAAGCACAGAATCCAAAGTCAGAAGTCAGACTTCAGTACCAAGCCAGTCACAGCTGTGTGACCATGACCAAGGCATGCCTTGAGTTTCAGTGTCCTCTGTAAAATGTGGCTAAGATTGTGATACCGAACTCTTCCTCAATAATGCCCCCATGCCCTTTCATATTTCTCCGCTCGGTGAACTCCTACACAAGTTTCAAGACCCAACGCAAATGCTCCCTTCTCCGTGAAAGTCTCCCTGAACCCTGTGCACTGGGCCCAGATMGTAGGCCTTGCAGTTCCATTCGAGCTCTTTAAGTGTTTTCCTGGTTTTCATTTGACCATGAATTCTCAGAAACAGGAGACAGAATAGGCTCCATTTGGGCCTCAGAGATGCTRCGTTGAATGACTACCTTGTGGAATTCTTGCAGGGCTCGATCCTGGGGTCCTTCATCTAGCCTTGGCTTGGGTCACCTGGTGCCTGTGGTGCCTTTAAGCTGTGCCCGGCTGTACCCATTTCCATGGCTGAGACCTAGTGGGAGAGACYATGACTTGTGAGTGTCTCTGCCGACATTCTGGGGCAGGGAAAAATGAAACAGCACAGTCAGGAGGTTCTGGGGTTCAGGGGAAAGAGAGGAAGGACTTCAGTGTCTCCCAGCTCCCTCTCAGGGTTCTGAGGCTGCTGGTCAGAGTCAGGGAGATGACAGTCTTGGGGTTGGTAGCTGATGGACCAGGCTTCCCAGACATGAGCCAGYTAGTCAAGGGCGCCCTCTAGGGGCAACCACAGGGGAGGCAGGAACCTGTCCACAAAGGCAGGATTCTTTTTCTTTTTTTTTTTTAATATTTATTTATTTTTTAGTTCTCTGCGGACACAACATCTTTGTTGGTATGTGGTGCTGAGGATCGAACCAGGGCCGCACGCATGCCAGGCGAGCGCGCTACCGCTTGAGCCACATCCCCAGCCCAAAGGCAGGATTCTTGAGTTTGACCGTGCCAGGCTTGCGACAGACACGTGTTTGACTTTAAGAATATATGTATTAATCATCTGGTGGGTGGAAAGCTCTCTCTGGGGTGTTGGCATGCATCGGTGAAGAAGACAGGGGCTAAGGTAGAGAAAGAACCCCTTACAGCAGCGGTTCTCAGCCCAGATTGTGCATTAGAACCACCCGGAAAACTGCAAAAATRCCACCCCTGAGCTGACAGAGTTTGCATCTGTAGGGTGGGGCACAGGTACCAGTGATTGTAGCTGTTCCCCAGGAAATGCTAATCGGCACCAGGCAGGAGAACACTGGCTTGAAGTGTTCACTAAGGCTTGCCATTCATTATCCTCACCTGGTCACTGGGGCAGATGTTATTGTCCTGTTCTGCAGAAGAGCAGACTGAGGCCCATGTCACCTCTCTGCCTTCTGTGTTCGGTCTTCCTTCCTTCCTTTTTTTTCTTTTCTTTCCCTTTCTTTCTTTCTTCCTCTCTCTCTCTCTCTCTCTCTCTCTCTCTCTCTCTCTCTCTTTCTTTCTTTCTCTCTACTGGGGATTAAACCCTGGGATTCTTAACTACTGAGCTACATCCCTAGCCCTTACTTTTTATTTTGAGACAGGGGCTAAGTTGCTGAGGCTGGCCTTGAACTCACCATCCTCCTGCCTCAGCCTCCTGAGCTGCTGGCGTGAGACACGCGACAGCTCCCTTCCCTGTTTTAGTCAAGGACAGGCAGGGGAGGTAAAGAGGCAGCAAAGGACTCCTACAAGGCTGTCCCTCATCTCCTAGAGATGCTCCATGACAACAATGTGGCTTTGTTTGCTGTGATTAGAAAAGTTGCCAAGGTCCTTGCAAAGCAGATTTTTGTTGTCCTCTTTGTTGTCCCTCCACCTCCCCCACCCCACCCACCTCTGATCAGGGACAGAGAATTGTCAAGGCAAAAGCAGTGTGTACAAAAATCTCCTGCAGGCTCAGCGTAGTTACTGCTTAGGGAGTAAAGTCTGAGAGGTGGGGCCACAGGGCAGGGGGAGAGGAAGGGGAGGAAGGAAGGGAGAGTGGATTTATTTTAAGACTCAAGGTCATGTTGTAATCAGGGCTTCTGGAGGTGTGGTCCCAGGACCAATCACATCATGCTTCCCTCAGTACCTGAAAAAATGTAACATTCCCCAGGGCACAGGGTTAGCCTCTGGAGAAAGATCCTGAGATCTGCATATTTACTAAACACGGGGCAATTCTTGTCGCCACTGAAGATCAAGAGCCACTCTGCTTGGAATTCTGCTCTTCTGCCTTAGTAATCTAATCTGAGTATGTTGGGTAGATACCCATCATGCCCAGAGGCTCAGAGGAGCCTCGGAATGGATTAATGTATTAAAATGTATCAGATCAGCTGCTGAGAGTCTAACCAGCTGCCCCTGGGGTCTGAGCACTCGCTCCCACTTTGCACAGTCTGGCTAGAAGCCAGCCCCATAAACACCAGGACGGCTTTGTCATCTCCCCCCAGGCCTGGTCTCCACTCATGGGCTCCCAGCCCCCACCTCCTTCCCTAGCTGCGCAGCACTTATTAACAGATCCTGCCGACCAATCACAGCCTGTGATGTCACCAGCAGCCAATCAGAACGCCTCACCAGTATAAGCAGAATTCTGTCACTCCTACTGAGGTGATGAGATTCCAGCGCAACACCACCCTTTTCAGACAGGGACGCTGAGGCAAAAGAGGAGCAGAGTCCTATCCAGGGTCACCTCATAGGTCACCGCAGAGCCAGGGCTAGAAGCCAGGACTTGTGACGGTAGCCCAGTGTTCGTTCCCCAGCCCTCAGGGTTGCCAAAGCTCCCCAGGTCCTGGATAGAGGGTCCCTCCCTGGGTAGATCCTGGAAAAGGGAAGATGAAGCTCAGCACTGTTCCCACGGTCCCTGCAAGACCTCAGGGGTCAGGCTGCAAGTGGAGCAGACCCYTCAACCTCTGGATTTTAGGGCCATGGTACAGGAACTGTTGCCCCAGATTCCGGCTCTTAGCTTGACCCCCCGCAGGAAGGAATTAGAGGTACCTGGCCAGGCTGAGTGGGCTGCTGCTTCTGAGCAGATTACGAGGAGGGGCCGAGACAAGGGCTCCTTTGTGGAGGCCGAGGCTTAGGGAGTCAGGTGATCGCTCAGCACACATGTATGTGGGCAGTACCAGCCTCCTCGTGTGGKCAGGGCCACTGGCTATAGGGTCTCAGTCCCACCAGTCCAGTGGCCARAGCTTTCAAGGGATCGTCTGACCAGACTGGAGCCCCACCTGTGAGTAGGGGGTGCCCCACGTGGACAGGGCTGRGGTTTTGAGGGAATACAGGGGTGGATGATTGTACACAGAGTACAAGTGCAGGTGTGTGGGCTTCTGCAGGTCCTGAGGTGGGGAATGAGCTTGGTGTGCACCAGGCACAGAGACATGGTTTGTAGCTGCATCAGAACAAGTGGGGGAGGATGGAGATTCAATCACTGCTTCAAATAAAGTTTTATTGAGCACCTGCTATGAGAACAGCACAGGAGCTTCCATTTGGAGGAGGAAAGAGGCAGCAAGCAGCAGGTATCTTGTATAATTTATATTTGAGTGGGGATAAATACTAGGTGGAAAAATCAAACAAGCTGGGAGCACACTGCTGGTGGCAGTGAGGCACTATTTCTAGTAGGATAGCCAGGGAAATCCTTGCTGAGATGTCATGAAGTGGGAATGAGTCAGGCAGTTYCCTCAGGAAGAGCATCCCCCAGGCAACTGGCTCAGCAGGTGGAAAGGCCCTGGGGCAACCATTCAGTAAATTGGAACAACCTTGCCAATCAGGCTCTGTTCTGGGAATGGGGTCACTGGCAGTGGACTGGGCTGCCTGGGTCCCTTACTTATTTCTCATTCCAGGTAGTTGAGGGAGCGTAGGGAACAAGATGAGCTCAGAACAATGCCCAGCTCAGTGTGTGGACATTGCTGTTGTTATTGTCACTGTGCAAAATTAAGGGCATATGCCCTTAATACACAGACCTGCCTGTCTTCCCTGMCAAGGTCAGGGGCAGCCTCTGGGCTCACTTTCTTGGGTTCCCACCTCCCACAGGCAGTCAGAGCTGGAAGGCCCTTGAAAATGATCCCCTTCCCCTGCTCCCAGTGTCCAGGTGGGAGAGCTGAGGCCCACGCAGGGAAGCGTCCTGGCTAAGATCATGCATGAGTCCCAGACAGGAGCCAACTAAGGCTTCCCCACCCACCCCATCAGCACCCTCTCTGCCTGCCCACCAGGACCCACGCCCACCTGCTGCAGCCCAGTGCCTGGCCATGACYGTCACCTACTCCAGCCAAGTGGCCAATGCCCGCCTGGGCTCCTTCTCCCGCCTCCTGCTGTGCTGGCGTGGCAGCATCTACAAGCTGCTCTACAGAGAGTTCTTCATCTTCCTGTTCTGCTACTACACCATCCGTTTCATTTACCGGTACAGGTGGAAGGGCTGGGGCCAGGGCTGGGCCAGGGCTGGGGAGGGTGGAGACAGGTTCGAAACTCTGCTGGGCCCTTCCAGTGTGCTAGGGAGCATACGTGCCAGTCAACTATGGATCTGAACTGAGGTCCTGGCCAGTACCTGGGGGCTGGAGCTGGGGCCTGGGAAAAGAAATCAAATCAGATAGAGGGAGAGGGGTGTGGCTCAGTGGTAGAGTGCTCGCCTAGCATATGTGATGCCCTGGGTTCAATTCCCAGTGCCACACGTCACACACACACACACACACACACACACTTACATAGTTCATATATATACATATTTCAATAAAAAATGCTCATCTAAACAATAAAATGTAGGACAGATACATATGCAGAATATATGATAGCACTTTAGTTGAGAAAACTTTAATGGTTACAATGGATTGAAAAATATACCTAAAAGTCCTTTTTTTTTTTAATGGTACTAGGGATGGAACTCAGAGCCTTATATATAATAGGCCCCTAAATTTCTTAAGTTTATATTCATAACAAAGGTTGGTATTTATTTATTGGTACTAGGGATTGAATCAAGGGGCTTAACCACTGAGCTACATCCTCAGCCCTTTTTATTTTTTTATTTTATTTTTTTTAAGAGAGAGAGGGTTTTTTTATATTTATGTTTTAGTTTTCAGCAGACACAACATGTTTATTTGTATGTGGTGCTGAAGATCGAACCCAGGCCGCACGCATGCCAGGCGAGCGCGCTACCGCTTGAGCCACATCCCCAGCCCCATTATTATTATTTTTTTTTATTTTTAGGTAGGGTCTAAGTTTCTTAGGGTCTCCCTAAGTTGTGAAGCTGACCATGAACTTGAGATCCTCCTGCCTCAGCCCCCTGAGTCACTGAGATTACAGACCTGCGCCACTACACCTGGCCCACCCTACTTTTAAAAAAGACCACTCAGTTTCAACTTGCTTTTAAACAACTGTCCCTGACAACTGACCCTTTACCAGGGTCCCTGATGCCTAACACTGACCCTCAGCAAGCCCTTCCTTCCCGTCAGCCRGGGGTTGGTGTGAGGATTCTCACAGGACCCATCGGAGGGGGCCTCCATCAGCCTGCGGGGGTTTGTCCTGGCTCAGGCCGGAGGTGGGCCCTGGCCTGGGCAGGACCTGCGGCCATCTCAGCCACCTCCTCACGGCGCGCGCACACCCCCGTGTCGCCCTCAGGCTGGCCCTCTCGGAGGAACAGCAGCTGCTGTTCGAGAAGCTGGCTTTGAATTGCGACAGCTACATCCAGCTCATCCCCGTTTCCTTCGTGCTGGGTGAGCGCCCCCTTCCGGCCGTGCGGGGTCCGGGGCCGCCCCAGCTCGCGGCAGACTCACGGCGGACCCAGAGGAGCTGCGAGTGAGAGGCAGGCCAGTGGCCGGGTGGCTCCGTGCAGGCCAGGGACACGTGCGAACTGCAACAGGGAGACTAAAGCCAGGCGGCGGGGAGGCCGTCCTGCCGCGGCACTGCAGGCGCGGTGCCGGGGACGCGCTGGGAGCCTTGCGCAGCGGGGAGGGAGGGCGCGGGTGGTGGCGGATGGCTGGGATCCCAGGGCCAGAGGACCCGAGGGGCTCTCGCGCCTCCGTGCGGGGAGGCTCTGACTGCCGTCCTGTCCCGAGAGCCTCCCACTAAGGTCGGGGCTGGGCCCGCTCGCATTAGAAAGATGGAGAAACCGAGGCATCACCGGGCGCTGGCCTCTGGCCRCAGCCCAGCCGCTCGCCCCTCGCCCCTCGCCCCTCCTGCTCAGGTTTCTACGTGACGCTGGTCGTGACCCGCTGGTGGAACCAGTACGAGAACCTGCCGTGGCCCGACCGCATCATGAGCCAGGTGTCCGGCTTCGTCGAGGGCAAGGACGAGCAAGGCCGGCTGCTGAGGCGCACGCTCATCCGCTACGTCAACCTCGGCCACGTGCTCATGCTGCGCAGCATCAGCACCGCGGTCTACAAGCGCTTCCCCACTTTGCAACACTTAGTGCAGGCAGGTGGGCGGAGCCAGGAGATCCGGGGCGGGGAGGGGCGGGGCCAGACCTGGAGTGGCAGGATCTGAAGATGGGAGGAGCCAGAATTCCCTGAACTGGAGGAYTGGGTGGGAACCTGGGGACTGAACTAAACAGGTCAGATGCTTGAAGGTGGGGCGAGGCCAGAACATAACGCTCGGATGATAAGGGTTTGAGGTAGGGTCACAGACCCTAAAAAAGCTAAGGGAAGGGCTGGGGACTTGGGAACTCTGCCCTCTGATCTGAGCTCCAGTTTCCAGTCTGGAGGTCTGAACATCATTCTYTGGCCTCCCCCTTGCCCTTGCCCGTACCTGACCTGTCTCTGGTGAATAACAGGCCTCTCTCCCATGCTTAGTCCATAATGRCACATTGCAGGCATCCAGTGATTATGTGTTCAAAGAAAGGATTCCAAAGGAACTCGGCCTAAGGGCCGAAGGGCTGAGCAGGGCCTGGCTGGTGCTGGCCACCTCTTCTGCGCTTCTCCCACCTGCTGCCTTCTTCACTCTACTCTGCAGGCTTTATGACCCACGGGGAATACAAGCAGTTTGAAAAACTGAGCTTGCCACACAATATGTTCTGGGTGCCCTGGGTGTGGTTTGCCAACCTGTCCACAAAGGCCTGGGTTACAGGTCGGATCCGGGACCCTGTCCTGCTCCAGAGCCTGCTGAATGTGAGCCCACTACACAGATGGGGCGGGTGCGCAGTGGGGAGGGTTGTGGCCTAGGTAGAACAAGGTTTCCTACAGGGGGAWAACTGGAACCCCTGAGTCTTCCCAGAGCCTGGGATGGGGGTGCAGGATCTTTTACAACAGGTTTCTACAGCCGGAGGGAGCCCTTCTCCCAGGATCCTTTCAATCCCCTAAGTGAGCCTGTGAGGTCCTGGTTCCTTTTTGCTAGAAGAGGAGACTGAGCCCAGAGAGGTTTAGTGAGCTGTCCATAACCACACAGCCAGGACTGGACCAAGAAACCAGACACTGGTATCTGGGGAAAAGTGGAGATGAACCTGGGGGAGCAGGCTGTGGTCAGAACCCCATCCTTTCCTCTGTTCCTCAGGAGATGAGCACCTTGCGTACTCAGTGTGGACATCTGTATGGCTATGACTGGATCAGTATCCCGCTGGTGTACACACAGGTGAGGCTGCTGTTTGGGAAACGGAGGCTAGGAGGACTCAGGAAGCTGACTGACTCAGAGGCTGAGCKAAAGGCTGCCTCCAGGAGTTGGAGCTGCACCTTGAAAGTTTTCTCTAGTGCCAAGCTCATGGCATCCAGGCTTTTGCCTGGCCCAGCCTGGTAGAGGCTGTGTGGTCACACCTGTTAAAGAGGAGAGAACAGACCCAGGCTCGCYAGTGTGATCCCGGGGTCCCTCCTAGTCCTCTTGTGCCACCTCCTCCACTTTCTCCTCCCCAGGTGGTGACCGTGGCAGTGTACAGCTTCTTCCTGGCTTGCCTGGTTGGCCGGCAGTTTCTGAACCCGGCCAAGGCCTACCCGGGCCACGAGATGGACCTTGTTGTGCCGGTCTTCACGTTCTTGCAGTTCTTCTTCTACATGGGTTGGCTGAAGGTGAGCCTCTGGGCTGGGGGTGTGGCCAGAGGGTCGTGACCAGCAGCTGCCTGGGATGAGGATGGAGAGCTGGGAGGTGAGGGTTTCACAAGAGRAAGGTAGGCTGCTGGGCCCGGCCACCCCCTCAGGGCCAGGCATTTCCCTTGTGTGTTTACATAGGACAAAGCGGAGATCCAAATCGCAGGGGGCAGGGGCCCATGCTTGAGGTCTGACTGACCCCAGGGCTTCCCTGACACCAAGCGTGTAGTGGGCGTGGGAGACACAGGGAAAGTTCCATCAGTGTGACCATCTGGTGCCCCAGAGGGTGTTCTCCAGGGTTTGTCCAGAACAGGAAGATTCACGGGATAAGGTTGCTCTGCTGGAGAGACTTCTCACTGTCCCMTGGGATTTGTCCCCCCTGCTTACAACAACAAAAGGTGAAGCTGACTACCCYAGTGCCCTCGAGAAGGCACCTTCAGTCCCCTTTTCCTTACGCTCCCCCACCCCAAGTCTCTTGTCCAGCTCCTTCCCCCAGAGCCAGGACCCTAATGGGAGCTCAGAATGACTGATGTCTGTCTCTTGTCTTTCATTCTGTTTCCTACTCACTCTCTCCTCTCCTCTCTTCTTTTCTGTATTTGTTTTTTGGTAATGGTGGCAGGGATGTCCCTTTCTCCCCTTTTTATCCTTGTATCTCTCTCTCTCTCTCTCACACACACACACACACACACACACACACACACACACACACGCTCCTATTCCCCCTGCATCTTTTGGTTTCTAAAGATCCAACCAGATCACACCATTTCATGCTTGAAATTGTCCAGGGTGCCCCGGTGCCTTGCCAGGTGTCCCCTGGACCCTAAGGCTGCTCATCACCTCTTTGAGGAATTTGTCAGGGTATTTTAGAGGTTAATCCCCAGGAAACTGGACACCTAGACTCCTCGTGAATTCAACACAGCCTCAGCATATATCTCAGTTCCGTTAGCAAACAATGAATAAATACACGTTTGAAGGTATGATGAGTAAATGAATGAGTAAGTAAGATTACGAAACTCCAGGTGAGATATGTGAGATGAGACAGAGGTGGTGACTCAGTTGAGTGACACYGTTAGGGACAGATGAGGTATTCAGGGAGGAACTGGCTAAGGAGAATCAGAGAGGTTCAGGGTCTAGAGGGCAGGAGCAATGTGTCAGTGGCCCCATGYTGGGGGGCTGTAGCCCTATGCTGTGGCTATTGGAAACAGTTGTCAGGCAGGAAGGGTGTCATGGGGTGTAGAAATGGTAGGATCCAAGGCTTGAGGGAGGGAAGCAAGAGCCTCAAGGATCTCTACCTGAAGGTCCCCAGAGTCTCACCCATCCCCAAGGTGGCAGAACAGCTCATCAACCCTTTTGGAGAGGATGATGATGATTTTGAGACCAACTGGATCATCGACAGGCACTTGCAGGTATGAAGGGAGCTCATACCACGGACCCAAGGAGGGGGACGCTGCAATTCTGCAGGGAGGCGTCACAGGGAATTATCCTCCCTTGCCACGCCCCACTTTGCGGCCAGCCATTCACTTACAAGAGTCTCACCTCAACTTTTGAGGTTTGCAGGGCATCAACCTCTCCATTCACAGGTTGGGAAACTGAGATCCAGAGAGGGAAGTAACTTCCCCAAGTCATCAGGCAAGTTCATGGTCATGTCTGGCTGACCTTTCCATTGGACTTCCTCCTCTGTTCCTGGTGGCCAGGTGTCCCTGTTGTCTGTGGATGAGATGCACCAAGATCTGCCCCCCCTAGAGCGGGACATGTACTGGAATGAGATAGAACCCCACCCACCCTACACAGCTGCTGCTTCCCAGTTCCGCAAACCCTCCTTTTGGGGCTCCACATTCAACATCAGGTGGGTAGTGCCAGGGAACTGGGTGGGAAGCATCTCAAGTGCAAGGGCCTAAGAACTTAGAACAGCTCTTGTGAGTACCCGTTGTGTGCCTGACAGGGCTAGGCAGGATACTGCATTCTGTAGAGATATTAACTATTTTTTTCTTCCCAATAATCCTGCTTTATTAGTTTTCAGATAATCAAGTACAAGTTCAGAGGGGTTAAGTAGGTTGCCCAGTCCACAGTCACATAACTAGCCAAGGGCACGTCTATGCCAGTTGTTAGGTTCCACTCTGCACTTCACCCTCAACTTTGCTATGAAAGGACTCCTTAGGCGAGAAGGGCTCTCAGGAGCCTCTGGTCTTAGGTACTCTCCTTCCTTGTCGGGGCTGGAAGCTGACAGGAAAGGGATTTATTCAAGAGCAGCCTGTGATCAGTGATGCAGTGGGGATGTTAGAACTTGCTTCCTTGCTCTAACCAAATTGGTTTTTTGTTTTTTGTTTTCAACAAATTAAGGTGTTTGGGTGGAGAGTGGAGTGGGGTTCTCTGAGATAGGGGAGGGGCAGCAAGCATGTCCAGGCAGAAGGCAAGGCCATAACAGGTACTTCCTGAGTAGGTTCTCCTACTCAGGCCGCCCACAGCAACCAAAGCTTCCCCTGTACAGTCTCATTTCCCCAATGCTCTGAATCCCTCCTGGCTGCTRTAGGCTGGAGGGCCATTTCAGAAAGTCCTCTGCCCCTGGGTGACAGAGACGGCTTTGGAGAGTGTTTGGCTCCTGTTGGGATCCATATTAAGGCCATTTTCCGCAGTATCCAGCACTKTTCTCCTTTTGTTCTTTTAAGAACTAAATGGCCTATTAGGCTGCASTTAGGATGGAGTCCATAATTAGTGTGAAGAAGAGTGGAAAAGCAGTCAAATGAAAGCTGGTGACTTGTCTTGCTCAGGAAGATTTCTGAAGGATGAACTTGAGCCCTACATTTTCTGCATCCCTGCATTTGAAGGCCAGGGTGGGRGAAGGTATAAAACAGAAAAATAACAAGGAATACTCACTTAGCGAAGGGAGCTCAAACCCCAAACCAAAACTCTGGGTACCTGCCTGGGAAAACAAAGGTCACCTTTGACTGCCTGAAGCTAAGCCTTGGGGCATGGGAGAAGTTGGTGGCAGGAAAGGCAAGCCCCAGTCTGGCCTAGGTAAGCTCTCTGTTGCAAAGGAAAGGTCTTGGCCCCCCAAGAAGCTGCTGGAAGCCAGACTTGTCTCTTGGTGGGTGATGTTCTGCAGTTGAGAACATCTCTCCCTGGCCTTGTCTGTAGTCCCTCCTAGGCCTCACCCACCTTCCTACTGAGGACCAGTTGTTCTGATGGTGTAGAGGAAGAGGCTTTAATGGGAGGAGCCAGTGGTGAAGAGGAAGTCCCTAGATGCCAGGCTGGAGGAGGGGGCTGGAGGAGGGGGCTGGATGGTAACAGTAGGCGAGAGGGAGCGGAAGAACTTGAGACTCACTGGGAGGTATAGGAGAGATTAGGACGGAGGCGAGAGCTGTGGTACCATGAAGGAAGGCTGGGACAGAGAGAGGGACAAAGGGGGGTGAAGGAAAGGTCAGGCCTGGGTCCTTTATCCCCCCTACTCAGCCCTCGGTGTCTTTTTCCAGTCTGCAGAAAGAAGAGATGGAGTTTCAGCCAAATCAGGAGGACGAGGAGGACACTCACCATGGTATCTTTGGTCATGATCATCAAGGTGTCATTAGTCACCTCCTAGGGCTGCAGTCCCATGATCACCACCCTCCCAGGACAAACTCCAAGACCAAACTACTATGGTCCAAGAGGAAGCCCTACCTCCACGAGAGTCAACCCAGTAAAGACAAACAGAGCCCTGGGGACCAGGAAGACACCAAGGCCTGGAAGCTCAAGGTGGTAGATGTCTTCAGGGATGCTCCACTCTACGAGAGGCCAGGCTACCACAGTGCYCCACAGACGCCCCTCAGTCGCACGCCCATGGTCTTCCCAGAACTGTCAGCCCCCTCTGGGCTACATGGCATCACAGGCACTGATACAAGTGACCAAAGCCCAAAGCCTGTGACTTCTGGGGCCAAGAACCATTTTGAATTGCTCCCAGATGATGGGGCCTTGAGGGAGCACCCAGAAGTACATCATGCAAGGAAGAAAACTGTCGAGTTTAACCTGAAGGACATACCAAAGATCCCTGAAGGTCATCTCAAAAGACATTCGCAACGCTTGACAAGCAATATACACACAATCCTCGAAGATCCCGTAGATCCTGCAGCTCCCCTTCACACCTTGGAAAACAGGTCTGTTCACCCAAACCAGGGTCATGGCATCCCCCTTCCCTACCCCAGCTTCCCTTGCTCTGAGCAGCTTCCCATGGTTTCATTACTGTCAGAATAGGAGGGATCTATACCCTGACTAGCTGGGAATATGCACTGGAACCCCAAAGTGTTGTGGGCGGGTGCTTATACTCAGTTCATGCAGGAGCTTGATGTYACCAGAAGACTTCTTTGGGATTCACGGAAAGAATATGAAGTTACACTTACAAGGATGCTGGGGGGAGCGGGTTGGCAGGTTAGGCCTAGATGGGCTAGGGGTGGCTGATAGAATACCATGAGGCTGAACCTGRGCTCTCCACTATCACCAAGAACTTGACTCACTGCCCAGTTAGGAGGTGGCAAATGAGCACTTTCCCAGAGGCCTTCATGCTAGGACCCAATCACTGGAAGAAAGGGTGCTGCCTTATCCCAAGAACTGGCAGATGGTAGTTTATTGGGGGAATAGAGGAGACAGGATCCAAGGTCCATGAATTGCATCTTTTTACTGCTTTGGGGACCTCACTGAACTATGTCCCAGTTTCACGCTTCCTTAAGCTTCAAGTTGTTACAAACCCAGGATACTTCCCTTTATTCTAGATTTTTTGAATATTTTTGCCCAATTAGAAACATCCTACTCCAGCCTCAATCATACAAAGAGGAAGTCTAGCTTCCCATTTCTATATTCTCAAGCAGTTTCTTTCATGGTTAGAACACCCAGCTTTATTGAAAACCCCCAAAAAAGGGGGGGGGGAATAGGGCAACAATCTTGGCCTTGCTTCTAGGGGTATACAGGGGAGTTTTATAAATCATCTGTGGCTTAAAATTTAGTCTTAYGTACCTTCCATACTCATATCAACTTTCTCAATTTTTCAATAGGGATGAACTATATTCCTAGCTTATCTCCCAAGGGGGATACCTCACCAGCCTGGTCTTCACCTGCCTGTAATCAGCGGGACACTGATCCAGTCATGCTCACACAGTTGTCCACATTGGAGTATGTTCCCATGACAGCCGGATTTAAATGGYTGGCTTAATGGACAACTAACTAGTCCAGGACTACTTCAGCCTTTAATACATTAAAAACTGTATAAACTAGGGGCTGGGGATGTAGCTCAAGTGGTAGCGTGCTTGCCTGGCATGCATGCGGCCGGGTTCGATCCTCAGCACAAAGATGTTGTGACCGCCGAAAACTAAAAAATAARTATTAAAAAACTGTAAACTAGAATGAACCACTGGAAACATATAATTCAGAACCATGAGTCCTCAGTCCTATTTGAATTCAACACACCCACACCTTGTTATCTTTCCTCAACTAAGGAGTCTAATAAATACAAGAATTCTTCTAAGTATTTGTTTAGTGTGATTGACACTAAAGGAATCTGAAAGATTGCCAAGACGGATTTTTGGCCCATCGCACAATTTCAAACACAAGAGCTGGGTACCAAATTTCTTTATTTGAAGGAATGGTACAAATTAAAGAACATAAGTGGATGTTTTGGTACAACTTATAGAAAAGGTAAAGGTAACCCMAATATGCATGCACTGCCTTGGTGACCAGGGAAGTCACTTGCACGGCTATGGGAAAGTCAGGCTGAGGTTTAGCTCTCGTTATCACTGTCTCCCAGGGTGTGCTTGTCAAAGAGATACTCTGCCATGCCCGATTCTGGGGCTCCCATCTTGCGCAAGTTGGTTACATGGTCACCCAATTCTTTGATGGATTTCACCTGCTCATTCAGGTAATGAGTCTCAATGAAGTCACACAACTAGAAAAAGAATCGGAAATTACTGGTTAGTTTTCCCARCCAATGGTCAGTGATTTCTTCCACTTATCCCCTGGGTTTCCAATACTCACGTGGGGGTCATTTTTGTCAGTGGCCAGTTTGTGCAGTTCCAGAAGTGACTGGTTCACACTTTTCTCCAAGTGCAAAGCACATTCCATTGCATTGAACCCACTCTCCCAGTCAACCACGGTCTGGTTTCTTGATATCCTGAAGGAAGATTCGGCCACCTCGTTGGTTCTGCAGCTTCATCAATTTCTCAGCATGTTCCCTCTCCTCATGAGATTGGTGAAGAAAATATTTGGCAAAGTTCTTCAAAGCCACATCATCACGGTCAAAGTAGTAAGACTGAAAGTGGAATGTGAACACATATGTTAAGTATTCCCACAAGAAAGAAGCTGTACCAGTARGTAGAAAAGGTTGCTGCTACCAAAGCCTCTCTTTCTCAAAGCACAGCAAGAAGAGGCCAGTGCCTTAGGAGACTAGGGGCAGAAGTGTTCCTGGGTTAACTCARCAGTAGTTAATTTGTATTCTAAAACAGAAAATTGAAACTTGATCCTTGAAAGTTTATTACTTCAAGGTTCCTTTAGAGTATCATAGGAACGGACTGCAGCAGAATGTCTTCAAGATCTGTATTAGTGTAGAGGAAATTTCTTAAGCCAGAGCCAAATATGATTAAACTTAGAGTGCTGGAGTATTGACTCTGTACTTTCAGCCCATTTTCCTGTTCCTTCCTGATTACATGTTAAAACAAGCTCTAGAGCTTGCCAGTTGTGCAGTACGTTGCTGACTTATAAAATTAAAGCATTGTGCCACATGACAACTGAGGACAATATATACCTATAACTATTATTACCAGCAGAAATAAAAAATTTGATTTCCAGKCTTAAGACACTAACTCCTACCACTCAGCCTGAAGTAAGGAGCAAACCAATTCCACTGTGGGAACAACTTCCTTGCTCAGTAACTGTTGGTGGACTTTATCCAGGAACTACAGGTTCAATTAGTGGGCCACAACTCCAGGACTCTCTGGCACAAGAAGGATAAAGAAGAAAGCACCCGGAGGCAAGTATTCCAAGGCTCAAGGTCGGATGACACTTCCATGACTGTAGAAGGGGAGATTTTTAGCGATAATGCTTCAACACAAGTGGGTCTTCGAGATAAGTAGAACAGAGAGGTGGAGACCGCTGTTCAGAAAGGGGCCGCTGTTCAGAAAGGGGCCGGGATAAACCCACAAGAGATAAGCAACTTTGTATCAACCCCAAGGCTGCTGCCATTCGACACCCTTACCCAGCAGGAGGCTGGGAGCTGCGCACTCCAGCAAACTGAGGGCCTACGAGTCACGTGATCGGCGGTGGAGGTCGAAAAAGGAATGCAAAAACCCACTTTCCTAACCGCTGGGCCGATCGTACCGGCTGCCAGTCTCTAAGAGGGGATTGCAGAGGCGGGCCTTGTCGCGGAGGGAGCCCTCCCAGGGACTGCTGGAAAGGGCCAGACTTTCTGCGCCAGCCAAGTCCTGGGAGACCTCGCGCAGCCTCCATTTTCCAGAAGGGCGCACGGAGGCGGGGAAGCCCGCTGCTGGCCACACCCCCGCCCGCCGGCCCGCGCCCCGCCGCAGGCCCGCCCGCGCTCACCATGGACARGTAGACATAGGAGGCGTAGAGCTCCAGGTTGATCTGGCGGTTGATGGCGGCCTCCGAGTCCTGGTGGTAGTTCTGGCGCACCTGCGAGGGGGACGTGGTAGCCATGGCGGGCGGCTGAGGAGAGGCGCGGCGGAGGCGCGCTGGAGCGGCGGCGGAGGTCTGGGGCGGTCCGAGGGCGCTGTGAAGAGGTGGCGAAGGGCTGCTGGCTCTGAGCGGCGGCCGGGGTGGGGGTCGAGCGCCGGGTTCCGTCCAAGCACTGTTGAAGCAGGAAACCGCGGCGACTCTCGGCGAAGAACGTCTGGCGCAGACGGCACCCGCCGGGCTCTTATAAGGGTCTCGGCGTCAGGACGGCCCTGGCCAATCAGCGCAGCCCGCCTGCAGGGTCCCGCCCCTTCCTGTGGGCGCGCGGCCGCGGGCGGGGGCGGGGGGCACTGGGGTGCGGGGCTGGGCCGCCCSGATCACTGCGGGCTGTGGTGCGTTCTGGCTGAGCTGGCGGCGGGGCACTCTCTGGGCCCCCCAGGCAATGAGGGGAGGCGTCTTTGAGCTTTTAGGGTCCTCTTAGWGGGGTGACAAAGGAAACTGGAGGAGGCGCGGGAAGCCCATCCTGGGGCCCCGGCTCCGGTGGAGCCCTGGGTCTTGGAACCCAGGAGGCAGAAGGCGAGAGAACGGGTGCTTCCCAAGTCCTAAGCCAACACCCCTAGGCACTTGGCCAAGGGCATGGTGTTAAAAATCTTGGCGTTAGGGAAGCAGATTCCACACCCCGAGGTAATTACCTCGTAATGCGAGTGGAAAATGGGAGATGGAAGCGTGGCCTGTGGGTGGTGGGTGAGTCAGGTATTGGGATGGGAAAGGGCACACTTTCTCTTCCTCCAACTCTAGGAAGGAGCACGACAGCGAAGTGGGGGCCTAGCCCAACCTTCTGATCCCAGCGACATGGCACCTTTTACTGAAAGCAAATATGGCTCCGAGTGCAGTTCAAACAACAAAGGCTGGGCGGATCGTGTTACCCCGAGAGACCACCTTCCTCTGGAAGTCCCCCTGAGTCGTGGGGCTGAGCCACCTGGGTTTCTGAGAAAATCACTGGTGACATTCAAAGCTCGAAGACGATGTCCGGGTTATAAAGAAAGGAGAAGTGATTTGGATCTGGAAAAGGAGCTGATGATGCTCAGGCCATTTTGAAATGGCCTTTTATCTTCCCAGTCACCTTTCTGGTTGTCCTTGGAGAAAAGCTGATGGGGCTGACTGGCAGGTGACAGATCCAAGAAATTCTAGAGGGCAAAGCCACCGTGTGTGGCTTGCAGCTGTATCTCCATCACAAAGTGGATGTACATTCGTGGGTAGCTGAACTGAGGGTTGACCACCTCTCCTAGATAAGTCCTGCACTCCACCATGTTTACTTGTCTCAAGTCAGGTGTTTTGATCCTAGTGGGAGGCCCATGAAGACCTTTTTCAGGATATTCACACATTTGCAACTGTAAGCTGGACTTCCAAACATTTTTCCTTCTTTTTTTTAAAGCAGCTGTACTAAAACATTAAAACAAGTTGCAGATAGAAATATGATGACTCTTTCTCAGGTCTTTATCATATTCATCTTAAAACAAAGTATGTTGCTTTCAGAAAAAAAAAAATAATTTACCAGCACCAGAGTTATAAAAGTAAGCAGGAGAAGGATGCTGGCCAAGA